ACATCCCTGCTTGCCGCACAGCGCTATCTTAGACCGTTTATTTTCTCGAACTACGTTCTGTAGATCGAACCATAAGTAAATTATTTATTGGAGAGGCGTATTAAATTCTTTGATACGCGGTAGAGAGCTAATAGTAACAGTACAGAGGAAAAAGCTTCCGTTATTCCTGCCGAGTAAAACAGAACTGATATTATACTTTGGTAAACGTGATCTTTGCTTGTAAAGTTCGTTAATATAAAATGTGTTGCTTGTAAGAGTGTATTAAAAGGGCGAAAAATGCTCAGTGTCGAAGTGGTGTTCTAGAAAATCGTGACAGTAGCGGGTTCGGTTCCCAAGTCTACGTAGTTATTTTATTAATGTCGTACAGTGCCCTATTAATCCACAAATTACAACATGGCTAAATATGTCGCGTCAATGTTATTGCATATTTAAGCAAAATTCTCGATTGCGAATAAGGAATGCAAACAAGCAATTCTCAGCTGCGATAACTAAATCGTTATAAAATGCTCGAGCGGTACAGGACTAACATATATTATTGTTATCTCCTTACTACATAATGCACAATTTTTAATTTTTAATATAATGGATCAATTTTCTAATTTCTTCATAATTAAAAGATTCGCCTTCTTCGCGACAGCGAATTTTCACCGTTTTATGCATAAATTTGTCACGACAAATGTAAAATGTTATAATTTAGTGGATTTTATTGCCCTGCAGAATGAATAAAATATGTATGTAGGATGGGAACCGAACCCGCAACTTCACGGGTACTAGAACAGCACTTTCATACTGAGCCATTCTACGCTCTTGTCCCGCTCCTCTTATACTAACACATTTTATATTAACGAAACTTGAAAGAAACATTACGTTTGCAAAAAATTATGTCGGTTGAGTTTTACTGGCAGGAATAACTTAAGTCTTTTTCCTTAGTGCTACAACTATTTTGCTCTCAATGGATTTTAAAATATTTTAAACTCTCTCCAATAAGATAAATTAAATTTTCATAGCACGATCTACAGAACGTAGTTTCGGAAATAAACGGTAGATAGAGCTGTCGCCAAGCAGGGATGTCCAGAGCCAACAACCTATCGCGCCAAGGCATTTTCGATGCGAAACTTTATGTTTCCAAGAGAGTACATATTTTGACGTTTCACACTACATAAGTTTCCGGTCTCTAGTGAAGATGTCTTGAATGGCTTGAATTAATTTGAAAAAAGAAAAAAAACTCTCGTATTTCTATACTAAAGTTGTAACTATCTGCTATATTTCAAAATGGGACCTTAACAGAAATAACATTTTAAAAACTAGTTTGGTGCTCGGAGCACGCAGGCAGGCAATGACACGACGCGCAACCACAAAGCCAGCGCGAGGCTTGTTATATTATGAATTGCAGAACCACGCTCACGGGCGCAAATGGAAGGGTTCTGCTCTGATTAAACTCTGCTCTTAGGTTTATTTATAAACAACTGATGCTGTTAGAGTTTTCCTGAAACGAGAGCAGCCATATTTCTCAGATATACTGAGTCAGTTGGGTAAACAGCAGTACCTATCCGAGAAACTCACGGGTTGTTCCAAGAAGTCAGTGACCACGTATAGCCTTACAAATATATCAATACACTTGTAATTACCATTATCTTAAGTAAAACCTAAAATTGCAGAAGTGTACGTTTACATTGTTACAATCAGCATTCTTGAAAATAGTCTGTTTAGTGTAAAAAAAAAATTAAAATGTTATAGTTGTCAGAAAAAGAGGTTTTAATATTCCTTTTCGTGATGACACAAGTGAAGTATTTACAAGAAAGTAAAAATCGCAATGCCACAAATATATCGGTTAGTGACGGTGATGAATAAACATGCTCAGCTGATCCTGGTAGGGCATGCTCACCCTAGTGTACAGATGATAATAAATGTAATTAGTTTGACTACTGTTTCTTTTGCTGTCTTCGTCCGTCGTTTGCCTTCTGCTGTCTTCACGAAACAAAAATAAAATTTGACGCCAGGAGTTCGCATTGTCCAGGGTAACTATTTTTGTAAAAGAAGTATCCTTTCGTACTATTTGAAGGTGCAATCCAGAGAGCACTAAATTAATGTGTCACTTAAGCTACCCTGCGTCCTTTCGTGATATACCTTAGAGAAAACAAAGAATTTAAAAATCGAACAATAATTACTTGTACCGAATGCATGAAATTCGACACGAATTCAATTCACCTTTTTCAGCGAAACTCTTAACACTTCTCAAACAAGATTATGATAGCCTATCCGGTGGCCGAGATCGCTAAGGCAGTAGTGCCGTAGCGAACTCGGACCGAATGATCGCGGGTTCGAGTCCCGCCTCGGGCATGGTTGTATTGTGTTTCGTCCTTTCACCCCCTATCATCATCATCATTATCGTGTCAACCCAAAGTTACCATACCGTTACAAGCAATAGTGGTCGCTAATGACCTAGTAGTTGATGCGACCTTAAATAAATAAAAAAAAATATTATGATAGTTTTAACACATAATTCTCAGAAGGGATCAGCGCCTAATATTATAAAAAGACTTGCGAAGGAGTGGGGGTGAGAACTAAAAGATTATCACCTTGTTTTGCTTATATTCTTTACAGGAAAGGGTTTAAACAACTTGGACATCAAGATGGAATTTTCCTTAAATTAGAGTAATTTGATGTGGAATGTTTAAAATGTCGGGAGAGCAGTTTTGCGATTCGAGCTTCTCTCGTGTGAGGCGGCGCCTCGCTGGAGGAGCTACCTGGAGGGAGAACCGCAATGTTGCTGCGGCGGCGACGAATTTCAGCCTCCAGCTGAGGTGGATCACTGCCACCTCCCGGGTTATCACATGAACGAGGCTATGGAACTATACTCCGATACAAATATAGGGTCCCTTCAAGGTCACAAGCGGGATGGAGATGGGGCCCTGGGAACGGTCATCTAATCGGGAGCTTCGTTCCGACTTGCCTTTTTGGTTTCGAAGCGCCCGATTGGTTGACTGTCCCCATCTCGGCCTTGACGGGGCATTTAAATCGTAGTCTAACGAGCCCAGCAATTGTTGTGCCCGGAAGCATGAAGAGACCAATGAAGTGATGAAGTGATGTTGATGTGTTGCAGGGGAGGCCGGGTGCCGCTTCCCCGCGCATTGGGCCGGCAGCTGGTTCCAGTCGGGCGTGCAGCTGGTGCGCATCAACGCGTCGCACATCGAGACCAAGGGCGAGTGCCTGCAGGCGGCGGGCGACAAGTTCCTCATCGAGGACAAGTGCGTGCCACCAGCGCCTTCCTGAAACACTGGGAGTTAATGGCGTTTGTCCTCCCCTGGCTCCGGTGGCACGTCAAGGTCACGAACGGGAGAGGGGGGCGCTCATCCATTGGGTATATCCAATTCCAAAAAGTTAAAGTCGTGATGAAGATCCCCATTGGATGGCAGAATCTCCCTCTCCCTCCAACTCATGGCCTTGAAGTGCCACGAGTTAGGAGTTTAGGGAACGATATTTTCAAACTATCGAGTGTTTTCAAAACATCGATGTCTTTTTACAACGATGTTTTGTGTTCGAGGTCGATGTCTATTGTAGATATTATTGAATTGAAAAACGTTCATCATGACAATGTTCTATTATAATATTCAAGTATCCATAAATTGAATTTTCTTCCGACGAAAGTGAACAAGAACGGAAAACTAATACAATCGAGTTTTCGTCCAAAAAGAAGCATATATTTTTTAATTATCGAATTAAATAATTTAAGTTCTGTTAATTGCCTTGATGTTTTGGAGTTTGTTTTAACAATTTAATCTGAAATACAAATATTAATAAAAAAGACCACTTTAAAATTAAATTATCCTGCGTGAATATATCTCCTGGTTCAATAAATTCAGTAATAGGAACAGTGTATAAAAAAGGCAATTGGGCTCGATTACACTTACTTGTCAAATGTTTTACTCAATTACAATACAAATTACATTCTCAGCATGTAACTAGTAAAATTACAAGTACAAGTAGAGATGGGTCGTTCTTGAACGAACTAGTTTAAACGAACTGATCTTCGCTCGGCGCTGGAGGCAAGAAAATTCTCCTATACTACCATGTGTAGGGCCTCTCATACAGTCTTGTTCGTGAACTAAATGCGTTTTACTAACTCATTCACTTTGCAACCAATGAGGTAGTTGGCGAGTGAAAATAACTAAATCGGCAAAGCTAGTTAAAAAGAATATTCATGATTACATGTGATGTAACTATTCCTACAAAGTAACTTATATAATATTTTATAGTGTAGGGTTAAGCTTTTCTTGTGCTCTTACAGCACTGCCATATCTACCTACCGGAATGTTATTTCTAAAATTTGAAGTATTTTTGATGTGATATTTGTAACTTAAATTCACATGTACTTAAAAATATTGCTTAAGATAATGTATTACTGTATATTTAATTTCTGACTTAGTCCTTTTCAAATATTACATTAAAAATTGTCATAAAAAGTAAACTTGGAGCATAGAAGAGGCGTGAGCATGAACATCTGTATCAGTTTGCACAATGCGAAAGACCTACACAAACCACTTTCTTAACGCATGTTTTTTTAAATTTATTATTATTATTATTATTATTATTATTATTATTATTATTCTTTTTTTATATAGTTTTATTATCCTTGTTCAACAAAGTGGAATAATATTATTAAAGTTAATTATTACAGGATTGTGATCTGAGTTAATGCTGGTATGCAGTATTGTGTAAATGGGAAGTTTAAATTTTGAGACTGCAATGTCAAGAATATCTGGAGAAATGGTATTATGTGGATAATGCATAGGTTGAGAAGGGGTGTGCATTGTCTAGTTATTTGTAGTTGCTAGATTAAATAATGATATACCTTGAGGGGTTGTTTGACAACCCCATGGCTTGATGTTTTGAATTGAGATCTCTAATTAGTAATATTTTATCATTATTATTAAAGAGTTGTTCCAGAGTGTTTTTATGTGTTTTTTTATTTGGGGGTTTGTAAGCTGCTATTATTCTCAATTTTCTGACTCATAAATTTATTGTTATTTCTGTTATTTCTAATTCCTTGGAGGTAGGTATAAATATTTGTGAATGTTTAATTTTTCTTTTGATTAGTATTGCCTCCCTACCACCACCATGCAAAGAGGCTACATCTTCTCTGTATGTTATATATTTTGAAATATTCACTTTTTTAACATTATTTAAGTGTGTTTCAGTAATGCACGCTATATTAATTTTCTGATCAATTACAAAATGTTTGAGTACATTCATTTGTGAAATAGTCTGCTAGCATTCCTGTTTTGAAATTTGACTTTAACAACACTATTGAATAATTTTCTTAATTTAATTATCTGTCTATTTTGATCACTCTCAGCAAGTTCTTCAGCACATATTTCCAAGGCTTCTCTTTTTTTCCCAAAAAGTCTGTTAACGATATTTACTGTGAACATTTGACCTAATTCTAACTTAATTTCTTTGTTAGTATACAAAATTGGTGTGTCATAAATAATGGATGAAAGTACTCTTTTTGTTGGATCTCTATAAGTAAAGTAATGAATGTTATTTACACCACAATGTTTTCTGTATTTTCTGTAGTCTTCTATTGTTTGGAAGAATATAGACACAAAATCGTTTTTAATTTTAGTACTGAATTCGTTTGTACTGTTTGCTTAATTTCTGATATAAATGTATTGAAATTCCTTAGTGTAACTGAAGTTTTACTTATATTTATTGGGGGTGTTTTAGCAGGTTCTAAGTTAGTACTACAAGATTCATCTCTAACTTCAAGTTCATGAATGGGATTAGCAGTGGGAATATTATACATTGGTGGTGAATCTTGCAAACTGGTTCTTTCTTCACTGCTCATTCCTCGTTTACTTTTTGAACTATTATAATCACTTAAATGAGAACTTTCACTTGGATAGGGTGCACTACTTTGGGTAGAGTTTTGTAACTCACTACGTCCATTGGACTGTTTTGATTATGGGAGGGATTTTGCTGAAGTAGCCGTTGAAGTTCCTGCGAGTGTTGTTATAGAAATAGTATTTCATGTTCCAAGGCATGAATTTTAGTTTCTGGATATGTGATTGCGTCAGGATGAGGATTAAAATTTGGAACCATGTTTAAGTTTAAGTCATTGCTGTTTGGAATAGGAACGCAGTGGTGAGCTGTTAAAAGCGCCGGGATATGGCTTCGGGTAACGATGAAGAGGATTTCATCTTGCGAGACCCAAGGTTCACCCCTCCTATCAATACAAAGGGTTGACAATTTACCTTGTATTACAGCAAATACTGACGACACTCAGAAATAAGTTGGTCCGTCTCCCAGCACGCACTCCCCACTTACAACACACACGATTGTAGTTTAGCTTTCGCTACACTCGGAAACACATTGGTTATACAGCTGGCACTGATAACGGCGGCGGGGCTCGATCTAAGCACGTCTGCCCTGCTAGGTGTCACCGCCGAACTCTCACGCGTGTTTAAACGTAATGTTTGACTAACTCATTCTGAATTCAAGAAAAGGAAACTCGTCGGTTACCATGGCTGGGGCCATTGTGTGCGTGTGGAAATCTCAGTTCGACGCCTCCCAACGAATATTTGTTTGAGTAACTCTCATACGCCACGTCGTGTTCCTGCCGTTGCTTCCCAGCGAGTTCATTGCTCCCCGCCCCTCGCCTCAGCCGGCACGGCAAACCCTAACGCTCCGCCCCGCGCTCACCGGCCCTCCCCCACCGCCTCCGCGGCGCCCTGACGCTCCGCTGCTCTGCGCTCGCTGCCCCGCGCCGCACCGCACGGCCCACCCGGCCACTCCCCGTCAACCAGCCGCCACTGGCCATTAACGACGCTTTAACGTCAAATGTGTAATTATATGCGTGGAATGTGTCATTAAATTCAATAGAATACTCGTATTACCCATAAATGAACATTTTTAGGGAGGATACAAAAAACTTATCAAGGAAAAAAGTTGTAATTACGTGGAAATCCAAATTATACTTTTTACTAGTGAATCTGTTTTTAGAAGAATCGCAAAGATTTACTTTTCACGCGTTCGTGTCTTCATTACCGAACATTTTTCATCTGCTCTGGTAAGAGTTAGACAGCAAAATCCGGTTTTATTATTTTTTGCTAATCCACACAGGAAATTTGAAGAAGGTAAATTAATACATGCACAGTCAGGAAATCAAATAAATAAATAAATGCCTTGAAATAAAAAAATATTTGGAACTCCACTCATCCGTCGGTTCTGTTTACAACCAGCTCTGGTCGACATCTTGGTGCATGTCATATTTTGTTTGTGTATAAACGATGCGATAATCTGATGTATGTTCTAGACATTATTATTATTATTGTTATTATTATTGTTACGTATCATTGATTTTCAGGATTAGACACTGTTGATGGTATCTGTTTCAGGTCGGAAAATTGCTTCAGATGCGTGGTCATTCATGAGAAGCATGCCAATGTCTTGCAGTATAAAGAGAGTGAGTGAAAATATTACATTTATGCTTTCTAACTCAGAGGTAATAACTACTATATGTGTTGGCAAACTAGTACGAAGCCAACATTTAGAAATGGAATTTTAAAGAAAATTCCACAAGTATTAGTAATAGAATTAATGTTTACTTGACCTCCTTGGAGATATATTAGGTTGTCGGGAGGGTTTTTGAAAGAAAACCTAGTGGTGCTACAGGAATAGCACAGACTTTTTCGTACTAATCTGTTCCCTTATTTTTCAGTCTGGGCTATCTTTTCGGTTTTCACAGCCGTCTTTTCAGTTATCATATATTAGCGGCTAAAAGTCATTTTTTGACGTTTTCTCAACTGTTTGTATCTTTAATACTAGAATTTAAATATGTCTTCAAGAATGTTATAGAATGGCAAAATCTGATCCTTTGTGTACATTTTCATTAAAAACTTCTGAATGGTTGTTAATAAAATGTCGTTTGGGCGTAAGAAAGTATTTATAGCAATTGCGCTCATAAATGTAATAATGTTTATGAAATGCACCTTATTTAAACATTAACAACGTGAGAGATATTTCAATAAATTGCAGCTGTGTTATTTTTGAAAAAAACAACAACAAAAGATTGCAACAAAATGGGAGTTTATGTCATTTTATTCAGTGCATTTCACATCATCTGTACAAAAAGTTTAAAGAAAACATTTGAAGCTGGAAAGTTGGAGTTTCTATGGAAAATAGCGTTTGAGTGTTTCTGAATATGCGTAATATTGAGCTCATTTTTACAGAAAACTTTGGAGTTTTGAGAAAATTCTTTGAAGAGACATCTTTGCGGCCTTTGTACTCGCAAATACAGTAATATCGGTGGTAATGCAAAGATTAACGACATAACATGTCAATAATATTACGTTTTAATTAAAAATTAAAATAAATTAGTGGTACTACAGAATGAAAGTCTTCTCGCACAAAACTAACGATTTTCTAGCTTAAAATTAGATGAAAACAACTCACATTTTGAAAAATTGCACATAAAATTATTTAAAGATGTAATACGAAGAAGTGGTTTGCATCAATAAAGAAATATTGAAAGTGTATCAGATTCGAAAAAATTGAACTCTATCGCATGTAATTCAAAATTGAAAACTATTTATATTTGGAAAGTATACATGGATTGATTAAAGATTTATTCACAAGGAACGATTGTCGAGCGCATTTTTAATGTTCATTCAGACTTGAGTGAGATGATGTTCACTTCACTGATCAATTTCTCGATTCGTCCCTTCCTGGAGTTTTGAAGATTCCCTCTGGAGAAAATCGTCAATTTGCCGGTAGACTTGATCCAATTGCGTTGCTCTTCACGCAAGAATTGGAAGCACCGAACGCACAGTAGGTGGCGCACAGATAGAACCATTTTTCCATATTATCGTCACCACAATCGACATATTTGTTATTCGATAGGATCAATACTCGTGAAATAGAAGTCAGCCTCCTGCATTAGGTATCCATAGCCAATATGCGTACCTGTAACCACTCATAATGATGAAAGGACAGCAACTTCTTGAGATGTAAGAAAAGACGGTGGTGAAATGAGAGCGTAGGCTTCGTCGGCCGAAGTCAGTAACTACTTGGTTACCGGGAAACTCTGCGACCTAGGCGCAGGTCATCTTGCGACCTTCCTCAAATCGAAATGCCAGGAGTCCATGAAGGGTAATGTGATAGACCACATGCGATTCTGTTCTCAACAGATCTTGAACAGCAGTTCCGCTGAGGTATTTGAAGGGGATGCTATGTGAGGCGTTTGAACGGTGGTGTTGCAGCGTACTGCGACGAGAAGAAGTCGCTGGACGACCTGTGCTCACTCATCACGGGCGACGCCACGCTCTTCTCCATGCTGCGCCTGGACCCTCCCGCGGGGCCCGTCGCCTGCCCCTTCAAGGGCCCCTTCACCTTCACTTACAACCGCGGCTCCGGCGAGTGCTGGAGCCCCGTCTCCAGGATTGACTCGTGCACCGACGAGTCGCGCCTGCTGCTGCGCTACCAGGCCTGCCCCGACGTGCACGGCACCGAGAGCACAGGTACGTGCCTCGCTCGCTCCGCTAAGGTGTAGTACGTGCTTTTATGACTTCCCCCCAGGTTTTCCCTAATCAGATATTTTCCACCAGTGAGACAAACACCGCCTAGCCGGCATAAGCTCCAAGCTCCCGAAATGCATGGTAGTGTAGTGTATGTAAAGGGTGAGGATAGGACAAAGAAGAGGAAGGAAATATTGCGTGCGGTTCGTGGCCCTTTTGTTAGGGTACCGATATGAGCAATCGGCCGCTAGAATTCTCGTCCAGACAGCGGCTGCATTCGACTCAGCTGTCAAGCTAGTGTAGCAAATCCTCCCAAGTGATGCGACTTCGCTAACAAAATCCTGAGAAAACTGACAAAAGAGAAATTGGCCGGTAATTCTGAAATTTCAGTTTTGTTCCCTTTTTTAAAAGGTGACTTCATTTTTTTTCTGTTTTGAAAATATCTAGAAATATTCCTGTGCATAAAGAAGCATTGAAAATGTGAGTTACCGGCGCATAAAGGAAAGTACAATTTTTTTCAATAAACAATCCAGAAATTCATCTTCTACTAATTATGCTCAGGCTTTCGTTAAAAGAAGTTTCGAAAATACAAATCGTGGCGAAATTTTTTTGGGAAGGGAATGATGTTGAATTTTGTGGTTTTAGCCCCTTCGTAAGTTCAACAGCAGTTCTAGAAAAGTGTTGGTTGAAGAGATAACCACATTTTCCGATTACTTGCTTCTCTTTCATTATCCTTTAAAACAACATTCTCTACTAAGTAACGAGGTGATGTGGTCGTATTTTTTACGATATCCTACGTTGATTTAGTTTTGTTACTAGAGTTCAAAATATCCTGATTATTTTTCATTATTTTTGCCTAAACTATTACTTTCCATAAAGTTCTTTTGTATTCTCGGAAGTTGACATGGAAACCGGGTGACCCGTTATAATGTTTAGAAATAATGTAATCGTAGGTTGTTGTTTTTTTCACGATGTTCTAATTTCTTGTATGATTCCAGTATTACTTTTCCGTGAAATATTTAATGTTTAATTTTCTCTCTTTGAGAGGAAAGCATGCGTTAAATGAAAGCTTTCAGAAAAATAGATTATATTTTTCATTTGTGTCAATGGTGTTGAAAACTGTTCCATGATTTCTTCAGCAAGTAATCCGTAAATAATTTTATGTTAATTTTAGTGAATGCTCTGCACATGCGTGTATTATTTATTGTGTCAGTATTCATGTTATTAGTAATTATAAGAATTTGTGCATCATGGTCACTGTAACCTAGATTAGTAGTTTTTATTTCATATCTAGTTGCGGTTTTGTTAATTATAATGGTTCTATTGCTTTTTGATTTAATTGTATTCCGTGTAGGTACATTGACGGTAATATCTAAATTAAAAGAATGCAGTAAATTGAAAAACTGCTCTGTAGATTTGCTCTGAGAACATCTGTAGACATTAAAAAAAATGAAATTATCTAAATCTCGCCTGATGGAGGTCTTTAGATGCAAATTAAGATAGTTTTGAGCGTAATAAAATGTAAGACTGTTATTTCAAAAACTTTTCCAACTGCATATAAATTGAATTCTGAGATAGAATCGATATTATTTCTTACGTAAATACACAAATCTCCGTAAACAGGGCCCTTATTTGATTCCCTCACTCTACAATACGATCCTGCAAGGTAAAAACTAGTGAAATGAAGTGTGTTTAAATCATTGAGAGACAACCAATTTTCTGTAAAGCAAAAGGCATCTATTTGATCTAGATCGCACTGTAATGTTGCCTCGATACATTCAATTTTATTTGTACGAGAATGCATGATGAAGCATTATTTGAATTTTTTGCACGTGCCTACACGAATGTTTTTCTGCTACATCTAACTGTAGTTTCTATTTATTTCTCATTTTTACCTCGAGTGCGTGGTCGACGGACGTATTGTAGCCCAGCAGTGGCAGGAGGTGAGGAAGGAGGAGCGACATATATAGATAAATGTATAATGGGAGAGGTAGTACAAGGATTAGGTTCAGGGGATAAGGAAATTGGGTCCAAAGAGGTCCCGAAGGATGGAAGGAGATATGGGTGTGAGGCAGGACACTGCCGAAGTTGGGAAAGGATGTGTTTTGCAAGCTCGCTACCGAGTGCGTTTTTCGACAAGGTTCAGGTGAAGACCATGCCGGGTGAAGTGATTTTTCTGAAAGAAAGTTAAGTTCAAATACAACACTCATTTCATTTCTTTTTGCAGCGAAGCAAACTGGCAGTCCCTAGTGTTGAAATCCCAACGTTACGGCGAGTTTTCAACACTACTTAAATAGCTAGGTGGATTTCAGTCTAGAGGAGAATTCTAGCAGCCAGCCGCTCAGATAGGTAGTTTTCCGTTCTTTCTCCCATCAACACCAGGCGAAAGTAGCAGAACCCTAACCAACGCGCCACGGGCCGCGCGCGATCTTTCTTTCCTTGCCTCTCCTCTTATTTACATGTACTATACAGCCACACCTGTCGGGCGCTTTGAGAGTGCTCCGGCTGGAACGATGTCCGGGGCGCAGTGATGGTCGGCGCCGGATCTCACCTAATAGCTAGGGACGCCTGAAATTAACATGCACTACACTTACGGTACAAATAACCTTGGCAGTTGACGCACTTGGAAACACTAAACGACCTATTAATAGGCAGTTTTCTTTGGGTATTTGCATGTATCCTGACACTAGTTAAAACCTAGTTTTCGACTTCCCAAGTCTGTGCTATCTCCAGGAGGCATGGATTTTTTTCTTCTTTTTTTCTCTTCCTTTCCTTTTCGTCATTTCATTTCCTTTCATTTCTGTTTTCTCGTTGAAGGTTATACTTAGAGCACGAATCTTCGCGACGAAGTACGACATTCAAGTACGGGCAACTGCTAGTATCAGTCGACAGTAAAACTAAGTAACCGTAAGGTTATTATACACGAACTAAAAGCTATATCGCAAAAAAAACTTCTATAAAACTAGTTTAAACAAGCATTTATTAAGTGTACAAAAATGCAACCAATGAAAAAAGGGAGAAGGAGCTGGCCCCAGAAATGTGGTGGCCACCACCGCTTACCTATCTTCAAACTACGGCTGTTCTGGTTTTTTGGCTGTAGCACGCTTACTGTTATGTTGGAGAAAATTGCAACAGTAGGAAATTTTATTTCCTTTAAAATTGGGTGAGTTCACCACAATCATCTATTAAACTGCCGTTTCGTCCATTGTGTGCGCAGGGTGTTCATTACTCTGGTATGTACACTTCGGGTTGCTTAATAATTTTGTTTGTCACTCCCTTTCCATCCCCACGCCCAGCGGTGACTCACCCCCGCAGTATTTTCCCCGTTGTAGTAATAATGTATACCAAGTTTTATAAAAATGAACTGGTTCCCGCATGGAAGAGTTAGCTGGAACAAGAACACACACATACACCCCCCATTAATTATATATAAATATTTTAGGCAATAAGTACATTTCTTAGGCAATGTTAGCACCGTCGGTGAGATAACAATTTTACATTCAATAATAATAATAATAATAATAATAATAATAATAATAATAATAATAATTTCAATTTGTTTATTTGATAAATGTGTGTATTTTGCGTTATTTTGAAAAGCTGTAGCTTTGCTAGGTAATTGGTTTCGAAATAATTGTTTTGTACAAATGTTATAGGAGGTTGTATTCTCCTAATTTCATTATTTTTCAGGTCATAAGATTAAAGAGTTATAGAAAAAACCTCATAAGACATTCCGGGTAAATCGGTCGGGGAGGTCGAAAATTTGGGCTTTTAACTAGTGCCTGGGTACGTACAATATACCCAAAGAAAAAGGTTATATGGTAATCCCCGTTTATTCTTGCTGACTGGACTACAATACAGTGGAAACGACAAAATTGGAAAGTTAGAAACGCAAGGAAGTTTTTCAAATCTATTTACATTTATAAGTCATTTATTAATCTAATAAAATTTAATAATTGGGATTTTATGAGCATTGGGGACGTAAATATAAGGTTACACATATAAGTTACCTTCCGTATCTTATTTTGAAACAGTTGGAGAAGACACTATTGTAATTACATGCATGAGCATTTGAAAGGTTGCTGTGAGATCCATAGTATTGGCTCCATCCATCTTCGTCTTTGGAGGATTGTGGCCTCACTTGGAAAAGACAATGTAATCTAACCTTCCAATGGGGAGTTGTGACGGGCAGCTGACAAACAGCACTGCACCTTCATGTCACTTGCTAATGGAATGATTTTTTTCTTTTTCTTTCAGTGGAGGAATTAGTTTGCCTCGCGACTTGGAAGGAAGGTTCCACTCGGTATCTCATTGGAAAAGTGTTCCATAAAATGGCGACATCAGATGAAGACAGATACCGATGTTTTGTTTATGATCACAAGCAGAGCAACGGACGCTCCATGTTCGAAGTGGCGCAATCTGGCGATGCTACGTGCAACGGATTGCTGTCCCCCACGGAAGGCTCTCGAACAATGAAGCTAACAAAAGGTATGTATTGCCTAATATATTAATACTACACTGAAAGAAATTTTGTAGGGAAATGTACTAAACATGTTTAGTAAGTGATCATATAGTAAATAAAATTATTCCTGTGGTAAGATTCACTAAACATGATTTAGTTTCGTTAGACAATTGAAAATCGTATGTGAATGAACAAAGAGAACTGTCAGTGGTACGATTGTAATTGTTTCGTAGCTAAAAAATCTTTCGGTGAGATCTGCGTTTCATGTCGTCATACTGCGTAGTAAGCGCGTTGTTCTCAGAAATCTGACCAATTCGAATAGTTCTAGAACCCGTTTGAACTGTGAGAAATCAACGTTGTATATAGTATTATACACTGTATAAACGAGGTGTTTAGTATTTTATTCATTTTAAATAATTATATGTTGTATTCACCACTAGTTGGAGAAAAACCGATGGTGGCCAAGTGTCTGCAGTCAGCGTAGTAACAGTTCTAATTGCCTAGGATCTGTCGTGTTACCAAAGTTGAGGAAGCACGAGTGCATTGGGCCATTGTATGGGTGACCGCTATGGGACCCAGTTGTTAAACTACATAGCTGAGGGGAAATAAATACAATATTCCTTATCACGTTTCTGCTTCATAGGGTTTATTCGGTAGCGTTTAGTAATTTAGGAAACGCAACGATTTGTTTAGTAATTTTCTCTGCAATGCGATTAGTAAATATTTCTCGATGCATTAGTCAACGCAACGATTTCTTTAGTTTTCTTACTAAGGGCCAGTTGAACGAATGCGGAATAAATTCTGAATTAATTTTATCATGCTGTTAGCGCTTAAATCGGTTGTACGAACCCGAGATATAGGTTAACTGAAATATAACAAGGTGTTAAGTTATCGTGTGATCTCACACGTAGTTAACGGGTGGTCAACAGCGTGTTAACCTTTTCACCGCATATTGCCATCCGAGCAATAGGAAAATTTATAGTACATCTTGACTGAAGTGTACGAAATTCTGGAGTACAAGAGTGAAGAAGAAGAAATTCTCCAGGTGTATTTAAAAAGTCGGAAGTTGAGAAGAGTGAGTGAGTAGGTCAGACTTGCTGAATGAATATGACGATTATAATTTTTTGCAAGATTCAGATTAATTAAGCAAACTTGATTCTTATAAATGACATTGAACACAGGAAAGTCCACGAAATATTAGTTTTTGTATCAAATATATTGTATTGTTTATTATATTTCGAACCTACAAATTAACAAATGTTCGGCTTGGTTCAGTATAAAAATATGTAAAGGTTAGGTTTGTTTTGCAGGAATCAGTCTATACCGCCTATAATCCAGCTCCTACTTACATTGAGATTATGCTACTGGATCATTTGTAATTTACATTTGAGATTTTTTGGGCTGGATAAAAGTTCTGCAAGTAGCATAATTAAAAAGTAACCAGGCAATAGCCAAATTAGCCCCTACATTTATTTATTTCCCCACATGGGCAATGGAAAGCAATCGTGCGCGACAAGGGTTTTACAAGAAAGATGTTTCCCAAGAGTGATTGGTGCAATTGACTGCACTCACATTAAAATAAAAGTCCAGAAGATTACATGTTCACATATTTCACGAGAGTGAGAAATGACACATTCTCGACGAATGTACAGACTGTGTAGTGCTGATTTGAAAATTCAAAATACTATTGCTCGCTGGCCAGGTGCAGGGCATAACCAAACTATTTTTAATAACTCAACTCAAACCACAATTTTAAACATTCAGGTCGTCTCCATAAGAATCCGTGTTAAATTTACGTTCTTCTTACTCGAGAAGTGGATGATGAAATCGATTCAAACTCTACCAGTACGTACTCTCGCTATTCCTGTATGTACGTATCTAGCTCTAACCACCTTAAATAAATTAAACACGTCATAGAAAATAAAGATTTCTTCGACAAACGACAATCGTCAGTTTTTCCATTAAACTTTCATTCCACTTATTCGATGGTTATGTATCACCGGTGAAGTAAAGTGTCGTACAACTCGTCGCCCTATTTAACCCAGCTTTAAGCAATAGTACTTGAGGGTTACTATCCACAGTTTTATCCTTCATTCTTACAATCGGTCCTAAAAGCAATTCCTCACGGGTTACGACCTGTTTAGCGAACATTACTTGCATTAGTATGTTTAACTACATAGCAGTTTCGTGAACGGGACCTATATCCGGTGGACTGGTTGACGCCATCTTACGAGATGGATGCATTTGGTTGTGCTCTTGAATTTTTGTGGCTTTATGTACGATTTTTAGCGATTTGAATATATTTGGTGTGTTTGTGCTTTCATTACTTGTTGCAGGTTAGCTGGATATATAATTTCATCTAGGTTTTTTAAGTCAAGACAAATTAAAAGAAAAAAATTTAAACGGTTACTGGAGCATTAACTAACTTAAGATTTACGATTTGGTGATAGTGTCAAAACCTATGAGCAGTTCAGTTTGTTTTCGATATTATATCACTGTGCTAATTTAATTACTGAAAGATTTTTATAACATTTCTGAGACGAGTGACGATTCCGTTGATTTGAACTTTACGAGGACGGTGTTTCGAACATTGTGTTCCCATTTTAATTTATTCTATATTTTGAAGAAAAATTTTCAGTTAATATCTTTTATCTCTCTACGGTAAAGTATACTATGTTGGTTGTATTAAATAGTAGCAGCTTAAGTGGACATCAATATACAGAACCACATTGCCAAATTTCGTAAGTACTACGAGTAATAATCAATTTTGTAAATAACGCACCTTCTCATTCTAGTATCGAATCATAATTTTTAATTTATTGAATACATTGTCAATCTTACACTTTCAAAATATCAAACTAACTGTTTGTTGCTCTTATCTGAGTTTCTTGTATTTATTCCAATTTTATCACGTACATTAAAACGCATTCGTGACGCAGTCACAACTAATCGTTCTGTCCTTTTTACTCTCTACACTCTAAGCCGGCCTTCTGAAAACCTTCACACACATAAACAGTAATTTAGATCAACATATCCGAAGGGTGGAAGAGGTAGCACTGCGAATTTTCCCAACCGTGCACGCGTGACACAAGACACCTCATCCATACGCAACTCAAATTTGGTGTTTTAAATTATGAAACATTTTCCTCGGCTTCCTGATCCTCACAATCCTTCTCTACTATCCACAAATACATGCACTAACCAACACAAAAAGGCTAGGAAGCGCGTCAAAACGAAAACACATGAAGATGCGCATCCTTGCCCACTTGAAAACAAAGGCATTCCTACCGAGTCTAAAAAACAAGTACTTATTTTAGCTGACAGTCATGGCCGCCATCTTTCCTCCATTCTCAGTAGGAAGTTACGTTCCAACTACTCAGTCTCTTCTATTTTTAAACCTAACGGGAGGTTTGCAGACGTGACTGCAGAGTTGGACACTCACACGAAGACACTGACCAATCAGGACACATTCATTATCATAGGAGGGCAGTATGACATTAATTTGGGCGGTAACTTTACACCTGAACAACATGTAAACAAATTAGAACTTGCCTCCCAAAATACTAACATTATACTCTCGACTCTGCCCTTCTGGTACAGTAAACCAACACTCTTCAGCGAGATTAAGCATGCAAACCAACAATTAACACTGCAACTAAGAGAAACAAATGTATCACTTGTTGAAGTTAATTTCTTCCCAGCAAAAAACTTCAACCGGCATGGTCTCCACATGAACCTTGCTGAAAAACATAGTCGGCAACAAGCTTACACATCAAGCTCCAAGCAACACATCAACTTCAGTTCTTCGCAGTCTCAAGCCAAGAAACCCTCCCGTTGACCTTCTTTACGTTTCCACTTCCACTCTTATTTCGAACCCTCTTACCTCTGATCCTTCGCCCACTACCAATTCACCTACACCTGATGCCCCAATTTCCTCACAATCTGTCTCTGCAGGGACACACTACAACCTTCGACCATGCACTCGAGGCAAAAATGCAGTAAATACAGTCTCTGGCCATATTATTAGACGCACCCTAAATTTTCAATAAAAATCATGTTTTTGTGACGAAAAATGTATTTTTTTTATTTCTAACGAAATACATAAGTAATAATTGAATACTTACGATACATACAAGATATCATATGCACAATTATGACTGTCAGTATAATATTTAAACTAATTTTCATACAAAATCTCCATGCACATGTATATCTTTAATACTTTGTCAGGCCACCTTTGGCGGCTATTAGAGCTTTAATTCTTTTTGGCATGCTATTAATTCATGCCTGGGCTGTCTCTTGCAATTTTGGATGATGGTACCAAACTTGAATTATTTTCTCAAGGAGGCGAATTTTTGTTATTTCTTCCTTTGCGATTTCCCTCTTCATGAGCTCCCAAATTCTTTTTTTGGATTCATATCTGGTGAATTTCCTGGCCATGGTAACACAGGAACATTTTTCTCCAACAAAAATGATCGAACTGTTCGAGCAGTATGACAAGGAGCCCTATCTTGCATAAAAACAAATGATTCTTCATTTATGAACCATTCCTGTAGTTGAGGCAACAGTCGTTTCTCCAATACTTGCTTGTACTGGTCTTGTTTCATGATGACCTTTACCGAGTACAGACGCCCTGTGCCTTTGCCACTGATCACTGACCAAATCATTGCCTTGACTGGATGTTTCACAGTCTGGATGACACAATCTGAATGATACTTTTCGCCAGGGCGCCTTCTCACAAATTGATGTTTGTTTGCTAGAATTTCGAAAGTGCATTCGTCGCTAAAACAAACCTGAAATACAAGTAAATGACATAGCAAGTAAAAGCACTAGACTAAATTTTTTACCGATTTCCAGAAGTCCAAATCTTTATTCTTAAGGTTCTTAGTTCATGCAAGAGGTTTTTCTTTCATACCAGCTGTTAATCTGGGTTTGTGGGCTGGTTTACAATCTTTAAAATTCATTTGTAGTAGTGTACGCCTTACTGTCCTTTCAGATACACAGATTCCACTACTTTCCAATTTAA